TTCTCATCTCTCTATTCCAGTTCATTGAATGAACAAGTGATCACAACAGGGAATAATTCAATATATACATTTAATGTAACCCGTTTTGACAATCAAGTGAAATATGAATGTCAAATCTGGAATCAAGCACTTGCAACACCACTTCGTATTGAACAATATTTACACGTTAAATGTAAGCACAGACGTATAAGGCGACAATTACCATATGCTCATCTTTTTTCTTTTTTCTCTCTCTTCTATTTATGCATATATAAATAGATCGACCATATGTGAACATACTTGAAGAAATAACGATATTCTCAAGTGAACAAAATCAAATAAGAAAAATAATCGGTATTGAAAATCGACAACAAAATTTAACATGTCAAATTGATGCAAATCCACCTCCGACAGCGATCTATTGGATGACAAATGAAACAACAATTGTTAGCCGTGAAAAAATACTTTATATACCACGATTAACATCAGAACAACATGGTATCTATACATGTATTGTAGAAAATTCTATTGGTAAAATAAATCATTCGATTTATCATGATGTTCAATGTAAGTTTTACAAATAGAATCATTCAATTACATATTCTATGATTATAGATTCACCTCGTGTTCGAACTATTGAATCTCGTATTGTAACAAATCGTTCGGATTCAATTGTAATTCGTTGTTTATCGGATTCAAATCCATTACCATATCAAATAATATGGTTTAAGAATAATACGGAAATATTACGTCAAAATCATTTAACTGATTTACGTTTTGATCATGTTGAACGTAATGATTCAGGTATATATACATGTTTAGTATATAATCGTTTTTATAATAATCAAACAAGTAATGGTTCAAGTGCAACAGAACTTATTGTACAAAGTCGTCCAATTATTGAAACAACCTATTCGAAAATTGCATCAGAAATTGGTCAATCACTAACATTAACATGTCGAGTTATTGGACAACCAAAACCAAATATTATTTGGAAACATAATGATAAATTAATTCAATGTGATGAAATAATAAATGATATATGTTATTTACGTTTTTCAAAAATACTTAAAAATGATTTTGGAATATATATATGTATAGCGGAAAATCTATTAGGAAAAGAAGAATGGATGTATACTATTGTATCTCGAGGTATAAATTAATTTTATTATAATAATAAAATAATTTCGTTTTATAAAGGTAAACCTGAAACACCAACAGATATTCTCGTATCAGAAATAACATCAACATCATTTAAAGTACAATTTTCTCCATCATTTGATGGTGGTAGTGGTTCACAACGATTTACAATTGAAGTGACAGATTCATCAAATTCATCGATTATTACCGAACAAATACCTTTCAATAGTTATGAATATACAATCCGAGGTATACATTTAATAGTAAAATAATTGAACTATACCGATAAGTTAGATAATGATTAGGCATGTAGTGAATCCGAACGTTCGGGTTCAGTTTTAGGGTTCGGGTTTGGGTTCGGTCCAAACCACCCCGAACTCGAATACGAACCCGAACTCAGTTCGGTTCGGTTACATGTCTAATAATGATATAATCTATTTAGCGTAATAAATGATTTCCTATACAAGAAAATTTATACGTGATATTTCTAATAAAATAATCATAAACTATTTTCTTTTTTTATAAAAAGGTTTGAATGAATCAACATTATATCTATTTCGTATTCAATCAACGAATATCTATGGCGGAAGTCCCTGGAGTAATGATATACCTGTACAAACCAATGAATTAATTATTACATCCGATGGTATTTATTTATATAATCTTAATTTTTCTGTTGTAAAAATTTCTTTTAGATTTACCACAATTACGTGTTATATCGTATAATTCAAAAGAAAATTATCTACAATTTGATTATTTACCTGATACTTCTCGTTTATTTAAATTAAATGAAAATCAATTATGTTTAAATATACGTCAATCAGCAGATGGAACACTTTATCAGCCAACTCGAGAATGTTTACCTATATCTAATCATCGTGCACAATGGATATTAGATAAGAATTATTCGAATTTAAAATTATCAGTTTGTTCGAAAAAACGTCGAAATATTTGTGGACAAGAAATTGAAATGAAAGAAGGTGAATTTTCTATTATTTATTCTTTCTTTTTTTTTTAATTTTTATTTATTTTCATTAGAATTTAACAGTGGAAATTCTGCACCAATGATTATTGGTATTCTTACAATGACAAGTTTTCTAATACTTGTTATTATAGTTATTGGATGTATATGTTATCGATCGAGAAAACGTCACTTAAAATCGGATATGAATAAATGTAAGTTTGCAATGGATTGTGTCGAAACAAATAATTTAACTTTATTTTTTAGTTGGTATTACTGGTCTTGATCAAGGTGTTAAACCGTAAGTACAATTTCATCATAGAAAAAAATATATTCTAATTTTTTTTATAACTATCAGAGTTATTTCCGAACCTCGTCTTCAAAATCCATATATGTTATATTCGAATTCAAATTCTCATTTATCTCCATATGATAGTGAATATCAACAAAGAAATATATCAAATTCATTTAATTATTCATGTAAATTTATAGCTATTCTTTTATGATAATCTATATTGAATATTTTAGGTGACATTGTTGATCGAGAACAATTAAAAGATGAATGTACGTATGATTTTTTTTTCTTCTATTTATTAAAAATAATTTTTTCGTTTAGACGGAACAACAATACGTACAGCAACAATTCATGCGTCACCTCATTGGAATCTTGGTGCTACTCGATCTAGTTCAAATCCATCATCAGAATCTAGTTGTGCTACACAAAATACAAATATAGTTCTTGTTAATGGCAATGAAATACAACATTTAGATCCTGCATCAACATCTATTTCTCATTATGGTTTTCCACCTATAATGTCTCCGTTACAACATCAGCCATCTATTATTCAAAGTTCATCTTCGAGTGAAAATTCTACACCAAATCGAATCAAAAGACTTTTTTATGAAGTAGTTGTTTAGATTATTTTAAAAGAAAAACCGGTGATATTCTATCTTTGTTTTTGTCTACTTGTTTAAATGTTAATTTCAATTTAATTGAAAGAAGAACAAACAAAAAAATTAATTCATATCTGTTCTATTAAGTAATATAACTAGTTGTATTTATTTGATGTAGTTCTTGTTTTTCACTACAACGAAACAAAAATGTTGAATTATTTTTTCATTTATTGTACATAACTGTCATTTTAATTGTTCAATTGCTTTATAATTTCTTTCACTTTCTAATATTTGACTTATATATTAAAAACAACTGTTTCAATAGGTTATAAACTATTATGAAATAATCATGAATTCACTAATATGATGTAAGATATTTTATCATTTTGAGATTGTAAAGATATATTACCAAATAAAGTTTTTTTTATACCAAGATATATCTATGTACATCAATGATACGCTGTCTATCTGGTAGTTGTAGTATCTGATATAAAACTTCATTATTTTAACTGCTTGATTATGAAGTCCATATAGATACGGACTAAGAAATAGCCTGGTCATTTGTATTACATTTACAAATTTCAAATATTTGTACAGTTTTGAATGAATATAACTCTTATAGTGCAGTTGTCTGTAGGAATAAATTAAAAAATATTTGCTGATAGAATATCATCGAAACAATATTCTTTGTATTACATTCTATTCTGGTTGTATCTTCAATTATCGTTTGATATGACTGAATAATATCATCCTGCTGAATTCTACGGATCAGTGAGGTCTATATAAAGGTTTTCTCATATTACTAAACACTATGCGTAATTAAGGAGTGACATTATACTTGAGATGTGATTTTCAAAATATAGAAACTGTAATGAGTTGAGTTACAGAAACATCGGTGCAGTTTCATATTTATTTTGAGCTTTTCCAATATCCTACGATGTTTAGACTCGTAGGATGAATTTTATATGATATTTTTTATTAGCTCACAGTTTGATCAGTTATAACAATATTGAATAGAAATCATTAGCATCACTATGATTATCTAAAAAGCTATAAATATTCTCATATTCAAAACATTACTTATTATCATGTTTAAAATTACAAATGGAAATAGACATAGTTTCATGATGTTTATACGAACATCATGTGAAGGATCTTGCCAATAATGACTTCGACCTGAAAGAAATGCAATCAACATTGACTCAATCTATTTCATCTCAAATAGAGCTTTCAGACTCAGTTATTTATATGAAATCAGTAAAAGTTATAGACGATATCATATTATCTATTAACTCGAAACGATTTATATAACACCATTTGTCATCGAATCAATCATTAATTTTTGTGTTAAAATACATATAAACTTAATTTCATATTTAAGATTATTTATTAAAATAGTTATTAATTCAGTCAACTTTTGTACATGTATGAAGTAAATGTAATACACGACAGTTTGATAAGAAAATCAAAATAGGAAAAAAAATATTGCCAATGTATAATCACCGATTAAAATGTAAAAACAATCGTTATTGTAAATCTTATTCTTTCTTCTTTCTGTCACAATCACACATATGATTACGACCATTAGTATTACGACAAGTTGCACCATGACGCTTTCCATTATCATTAATGTAATCATTAATATCATAATCATTATAATACCAATCACAGCATTTACCACATTTTGAACAAGCACGACCACCACAATCAAGTTTTGGTAGAGACGTAGTACGAGAACGACTGGATAGTTTTTTGACACCTAGCAGAAGGAAAACGAATCATTAACTAATTAATTGTTTTAGAAAAGACAGTGTTGAAAATTCCTAAAGATTGACAAAATTAAAATCTTGTTCTACGATAAACAATTCTTTTCAATAACTAAACAGATGCAGATCTCGGTTACCGACATTCAAATAAGTTTTGTTCATTTAACTATACTTACGTGGTTTACTTTTTATCAATGCTAGTTGAGCTTCTTTTTGTTTGAGTTCTTCATTAAGTTGTTGATTCTGGCGATGATATGTCTTAACTTGTATTTTTAATTGTGTTGTTAGTTCTAAAAGTGTTTGATTTTGAGTTTGAAGTACAAAGAATTGAGCTTGCTGTTGATTCATTTGACTATTAAGATGTCTGAGCTCGTCCCGTTGTTCATTTATTTGTGTAATCTGTTTATGTGCTGTATCTTCTAGTTGTAGATTTTCCATTAAAATACCGGTGATAATAGATCGCATTGCTTCATATCGACAAGTAAGTAGATGTTCATTCAGCTGATCACGTTGTCCCATCCATGGACATTTGATATCTGCTGACTGACACGGAACAATTCTTTTTGGACATACTTTTTCAATATGTTCTTCAGCATTAACTCGTAACAATCCATCTTGTCCACAAATTGTACATTTTATTCGAAGTCGATCAAGCATATTTCGTAGAGAACGTGGAGCTTGTGTAAGATTGTTAATTGATAAAGTTTGTCGACAATGTGGACACGAAGTACTTTGTGTTTCAAGCCAATTTGTAATACATTCACGACAAAATGTTTCACTACAAGGAGTACAATGTGGATCTACTAAAGGTGAATGACAAATACTGCAGATCAATTCTGGATCAATAGATGTCTCATCCATATATTCATAGGTTGCATCCGTCATTTGATTTTTAATTTTTATCTACAATAAAATCTTTTAATTTTAACGATCCTATTTTGAACTACTTGGTTGTTTTTCGCGAATATTGAAAAGAGAGTTCACAATTAGTAGATTTCGTAGAAAAACTCATTCTACTTCTCAATGAAATAAGATATGCTAATCTGTGAAGAAACTATATTTCATTTTCCTTTTTATTCATTTCAAAAAAGGTTTTAAAATAACTAAACATCATCTAAAGTTTTTTTTTGAAGAATAAGTATTAAACCTTGACTTACTATATCTTGTCAAAAAACCATAATTTTATTCACAACTAGATATTGATCATGTATAAAATACATTACTGAAATATTATAGTTCATAATAGCAAAAAGAATGTATATGTCTAATACTGAGAAAAAAGTTCATAAAAAACTATATCTTACTCACGCAAATTTGTACAATAAAAATTGAAGAAATAGCGTTTATTGATATCGTTAGTATTAATATATAAAATATTATTTTATTACTTTAATAGTAATGATATCAAATAGAGGAAAACATTAAATATAATAATAACAAGAAAACCACATCAACAAAACAAAAATGAAGGTTACAGATTACGATGAGTAACAAATTGAAACACATATGTTGTTTCTCTTTTCATAATTCAGAGACAAGGCTAGATCCTTGTCTCATTATTTATGAAGCATAAATGGAGGATACGAAAATATTTTCCTTTTATACATGTGCTTCATTATATATTTTTATCAGTACAACCAGTTATATCAATAAAATTTAAACGTATTATAGAACAAGAGATGAAGAAATTATTTCCACTCTCAACGATCGATTTCTACAAATGTGAGATTTTATTGTCAGATTGAAAGAGTTTTTTTGGAAAATATTTCCTGATTTTTTATCATTGTTTTTACATTTATATTGACATCTTCACACATATCTTCCTTGGTATAAATCCGATACAAGAAAATATCATGAATAGCAAATATAAAAAGTTTATATTTCAGTAAAAACTTTGTCAAATTAAAGAAAACAATTCATGATATTCTGTGTCTTTTTCCTTCTGTGTTTAAAATGTTTGTTTTATGAAGTAATATATCCAGTTGTATTTATTCGTCGCAGTTCTCGTAATGTTACAGCACGACGAAGACGTTCAATTGTTTTTTCACAAGTTGTATACAATTGGTTTATTTGTTCAATTGCTTTA